TATTAGGCAACAGTTGTATTTTGCTATTAACATGTTCTCTTTATCCTCAACAGAAGCTGAATATGCTACACTTTCGCAAGCTACACAGGAATTAGTGTGGCTGTTAAAACTAACAGAAGATTTTTAAATCTACCCCAAACTCTACCAATAAAAGTTTTTGAAGATAATCAATCAACAATCAAACTTGTAGAATCTGAAAAGTGCAGTTCACATACAAAGCACATTGACACAAAATTTCAACATATATGAGACTTTCATAACAAAAGCATTGTAAAACTGTTTATCTTTCAAGAGAGCAAATGGTTGCAGATATGATTTAACAATTCTTAAATCTAAACTTATATTTTACAGAATCAATTACAGTTGGTATGAGATTCATTAGCAAAGCAGAGGTAATGTTGGAGTAAATTAGTGCCTCCTTTGCATAATGAAACTAGGAAATAGGAATCAAATGTGCACGAAGCTACAAAGAGCATATGAGAGAGGATTCAATATGTGCCTTGTACCTGAGCCAGAATCTCAGACCTTCATTTTTATTTTCTTTCAGCTATTCAGCTCCTGCAATTATCACCCGACATGTAAGCCTGAATATATACTTGTGACTGATGAATGAATGGGTCTACTTAAGTTTCTTTTTGCACATTTCAATTTTAAATGTTGGTGAAGATTTTTGTTCTACTTAAGTTAACCAAAACTTGTTACTACTTGTTAAATAAAGATTTCACGTTTGTTTTGTCATAGATTCTTTGCTGAAACTATGCTAAATACAGCATAGTGAACTCAATTCACCTTAGCTGTGTTAATGCACAACACATCACCTCTAACCTTCTTCAACTGTACCTGTGTATTGAAATGTAGGACTGCGTGGACAATACATGGTTCTTGCATTTTCCAGATTGAAAAATGGGGCAATAGAAGCCCCAATACTATGGCACAGCCACAGGAGTTAAAATTTCAGTAAGGTAATGGTGGCTGGTCCAAGTACCAAATAGGTGGGCTAGAAATGAATAGGATGGATACCTATGATATCCCAAATCAATCCAGGAACTGGGCTAGTATGACAATAAAAAAATGCATGCTTCCACATTCACTATCCTATATGACTCAGCACATGGATAAAATCATCATGATGCTGTAAGCAGAAGAAGGATTTGTCAGAATAGATGACATCACAGTGCAAATGCACCCATGTGCATTGCTGAATGTACAACATCACAGTGCAAATGCACCCATGTGCATTGCTGAATGTATGACATCACAGTGCAAATGCACCCATGTGCATTGCTGAATGTACCACAGTAAGCACCAGCTGTAGCATAATGAGAAGCAAAGGCCATGATTCCGCTGTGGATAATTTGTGGCATTGCAGACATCATCACACTATGTAAGCAAATAATTTACTTGGTGTTGCACAACTCACCCAATTTAGTGACCTAAAGTATCTGGCATGACTCTATAATTCCTAATAAAAATATGGAAAATTATCAATCATCATAGTCTCCATGATAATAAAAAGGGCTGTTCAGATCTCATATCTTTTTCCATGTGGTTCGCCTGCAAATTCCTGTAACAGTCTTTGGATCCTAATACAAATAGTAGTTATGCATTGCGATAATCTGCACTCCCAACGGAATATGATTCTCTAGAGATCAAATTCCAAATACATATACAAGAATGTTTTACATTTTATACAATCTCAGGTTTGCTGTGCACTTAATACAAAATCGCAATTTTAATAATAAGTAATACAGTTAATTCCATCTTTTTGCTTTCCAGATAATAGCATTTTTTTTAAATACCTGCCACTGTTCCCCCCCCCCAAATTATTGATGTAATGGGCTAGATCCCAGTATGAAAAATCACACATCTACCTGGTTTCGATAATGTGAGAGTTACGTTATGATGTCGAAAGGAGGAATGCTGAAAATTACTAGTAAGATTTTAATTAATCCAGTTATTATATTATTTTGGCTTTAATATACCTTCTACTTCCACCAGAATGCAAATAAGTTTAACGTATACATGAGCTTTGAATTGTTAGCTTTTTACAGAATGTTTGGCATCATAGACTGATTGTCACTCTGCTTTGTTCTAATTTAGCTTTTCAGCACCAGTTTCAGCTAGCTGTGATTACATTGTGAGTGCTTAACTATGAATGAACTAAGGTTGAGTTGTTAATTTTGCACTCTGCATCTACTTCACTTTGAGCATATGTGCTGTTTACCCAGAAGTCAGTTTCTGTTAATCCTTCTGTCTGGGTAACCATCCAATTGATATATCAATAAAGATGTTTTATTTTAAAATTTTAGTTAGCTGTCAGATGTACAGTAAAGTCACCTGGCAGTATATTACAGTTATGATTTGGTAGTTTATAATTATTAGAGTAATTATATTTGCCAAAAAACTGTAAAAGTGCAAAGAAGGAGAAAAGCTAGTTATTCAAAGATGACAGCTCAAGCAAGACTTAAAGTGAAAAAAAAAAGCTTTTTTCCTTCAATAACAAATGGCATAAAGCAAAAATTTTAGGACACAAGTAGGTAACTTGTCATGGCAAAGCACTTAAAAAATTGTCAGTCTCATATGGAATACCTCTGTTATGGGCATCTCAACAGATGCCGCTTTGCTTCCATTACACACAGAGGGATCCAAAAAAAAAATTCAGGTTTCATTTATCGGTTCATTAATGGCAGAGCACTTGAGGACTATCTGCCTAAGAAAGGGATGCCTTTGTGGAGGACTTTCTAAGGGAAATGGTTCGGATACACTTTACACATGAGCAAAACCATGAAAATGTTCATACAGCCAGTACAGAAAAATTTCAGGAAATCAACCCATTCAGGCTTGTAAAATTACCAGTACTCAATCACCTTACCTATTTGACAAATGCTGAGCTCCCAAAAGATAAAAATGTTAACTGAAAATTCTTCACCTGGCAATAGCATTAATACTAAATTTTATTATCAACAGTTCTTACTTGTTAGCACATTTGAAGCCCAACTAGTACTTCATTTTCTTTTCTTTTAAGATAATTGGTATTCAAAATGCAATAAATTTACAAGTTTATGAACCATTTCTATGTTTGAAGATGGGATTTAAATATTTAACACTTAAAAGAAATTAGCTATTTTTTCTGATGATTTTTGAATAATTTCCTGATTACCTGAACACCTCTCTGAAAAGTCTCCAACTTAGTGACTAATTTTCCACCTAGCTAATACATGAAAGGCAACAGCCATTTTAAAAATGCCACTACACTAAGAGTTCCATAAAAGAGCAATGAATCGATAAAATTTTTTAAAAACACGAAAAGTGTATAATAAAATGCTTACTTTTTTCAAAAAAATTTTAAGGAATTTCTTTTTTGCAATGTACTTAGCAATACATTTTTATTTAGAATTAATATCAAAAAATAGCACAAATTTGGCATTACATAGGTTGTTGTTATCCCTATGTATGCAGTTTTCACTTAAAAAAACGTCTAGGAATTGCCCAAATTTGACACTGTGTATAAACTTCAATTCCATACTATTCAACCATTTAAGAAATACAACTTCATGAAATGAATTTTTGCATTCTCTACTGTTAGATAAAACACCTCATTTGTGAACAAAGAGAAAGTTTCATCAGCCAGCAAACTCCACAGTCCCATTACGATTCCTTACAAGAAAAGAAACAGGTTCTTCTTCAAAAGCACAACAGCCACTTACAGGCCTTGGCAGCTTCAATTATGTCTTTTATCTGCAGCGACTCCTCTCCAATTTTTAAGTCTTTTTCAATGTAATCTAAGTGATCTTCCTTTAGCTTGGTATCCCTCAGGTTTTTTTTTTTTTTTTTTTTTTTTTTTTTTTTTTTTTTTAATGTTAAGATCTCATTGGGATTATCTTCTGGGCTTCTCCAAGCATAAAATGTACTCAATACAAACACATGCACATTCTAAGGTGGTACCCCCCCCAAAAAAAAGGGAATAAATTCACAAAGAAACACTAATCATAAAAATGACATTCAAATCTGAGGGTGGAACTATTCACTTGTCTGCTGTGCACGCATGTATTCTTAGGTGTTACACAAATACATTTTTGCAACATCGTGAGTCGCCTATTTTTTCAACGTATTATGTTGTCTCGTAAATATGTTTCAGGAGGCCATGGATAATCAGAAAGAACCAGAAATTATTTTAAAGAACACTGATGTGCCAAAATTTAGAGTTTTATGCAAAAATACTTTGAAACTATATGAAATGTTACTATAGGATGGTAAACAATTAGTATAATGATTTCAATAGTAAATAACTTTTGGGGGGGCTATAAACCAATACCTGGAGATTTTATGACAGCAAAGTTTCATCCCCAAATAAAGAACAAAAATGGCTCAATTTTGCTTTGGAAATCAATCCCATTATTTTAAGGTAATGAGAATACTGCAACTTTTTTATGTTCAGATTGCACTTGGTGTTCTTGCAATTTGCCAACGGTTCAACATTTTCAGCTGTGAATAATGACACTCTTAGGAAAATTTGTGGTTGCTGCATATAATTTCTCTATTTTCAAATTTTAACTGGTCATTGCAACTGTCAGATTTAATGGCCACAATCTTTTTTTTCTTTTTTTTCTCGGGAGTACTTAAAAGGAAACGTGCAAGCAAACAAGCCACAAATGATAAAGTAGCTTAAAACCAATATCTGATGAGCAATTCAATAATTCTGATCTAAAACCATAACAAAAGTAACACATAATTCCCAAGAGAGCACAGAACAAGCGCAAAGTTATAAATTGCTGTCAACTGCCAAATAGTATTTTTAAAACATAATGCAAATATATTTCCATAAATTGTGTTTAATGCTAAGAATGAGCAAAAAATGAATGATATTGGAAGAAAAAAGTGTCATTTATTATTTAAATTATGTTAAAGATGTGTCACCCTATACGAGCTGAAGTCAGATGATCCATCATTGGAATGACACAATTTCAGTTATTTTTTAATAAAATGCATATTTTTTATACCTTTACCATTAGATGTTTTGCCTTCATGCTGCAAGCCCTTTTCCATATTTTCTTTATTTCTACTACTAGCAGATCCTTTTCCTTTCGCACGTGTCTGTGAAGTATAATAATATAATTTGTTACAGCCTTTAATGCTCAGCTAAAAATTTGTTAATTAAGTAAAAATTACATTAAAATTTAATACCATGAGAAGCTAACTTCAAGTGTACTTTACGTACCTGAGCATCTAGACTTGGAACTGAAACAAAAAAAATTATAAAAATTAATGAAAAATGAAAAAGCATAAAAAATGAAAACGCAATAAAATAATGAATAACACAAAATAAAATTAATAAGAAATTCAACTAAAAACACCTTGAAGTAGAAATAATTTTAGTATTTTGAAGGTTCCATACCTCATTCATAAAATGATAAATATGTTACGGTCAATCATTTTTCAAGGAGGGCTGTAGATAATACAGATCATATTGAAGGCCTTGTTATGGATTCTTCATATTTTTATGATTTATGACAAATTATAATAAATTAAATTTAAGAACAACAATAAAAAAATCTGGTAAAATTAATTCTGTATTTAAAATAACTGTTTGGCTTTCACCTTTAGTTTGGCAAGTGTTCAGAAATCTTTCTTAATTGAATTCAATAAAATCCTCAAATCTTATTTTCAATGAGTATTTGTTAACATTCAGTACCTTTTTTTGTGGGGTTGAGGCTTGAGTATGCATACCTCTACACATTTTATAAATCTAATGGAAGTAAAAATTTTTAAATGTTGGAATTCCTGTTAATGAGTCCCAAACTTATAGATATTTAGGTCATACATTGAATTTTATATAGCATGTATTAATAGCAAAGGTGTTTACTTATATTTAAACTAGCTAAAAGTGCAGTTTCTTTTACAAAAACGGAGTATTTTTAAACATCAAACATACCATTAAAATCATTGGTATAATTATGATTAATTGGGAAGACAGATAAATACAAATAAATCATCTCTAAATTGGAGTACTGGTAGATGGAATCTACCATGCAATGACTGATTCGACAATGTTATCCCCTGACAGCCACAATAAATCTATATATTTGTGTATGTTTTATTTAAGGCAGGGGTTCTCAACCGGTGGTACATAACAGAAAAATAGTTGGTACGCAAAGAAGCAAAGTATTCTTAACTATTAAATTCAAAAATTAAAACCCCAACATCCTAATAGAGTTTTTACTCTAACACTCATAAATTTATGTGATCTGAGCTTTGTTCAAGAGTGGTGGTGGTAGTAGTACTTTGTAATGGTGGTGCTAAAGGTTTTCTGTTTTTATTTAGATGGTTAGATGGATGGTCAAAAGGTTGAGAACTGCTGATCTAAGGGATGCGAAGAGTTTGCAAGAACAGAAACATTTTAGTTATGCATGTAAGTCACTACAGAAACATGACTGGCAATATTAGTACCCATAATTCTCATAACTGAGTTTTCAGATGATCATTTACTTTCTTGGCATTTTTAAGCATTGAATTTTTAAAATGCTATTGTGTCTCCCTGAAGCAAGTGGCAATATTTCAGTATGAGCAGGAAAATTACAAATATTTTAAATCAACACACCAAGAAAGAACTGTAAAGTGAAAGCTAAGTTTGTAAAAATAAATAAATAAATGCAACAACATTGTTGTGTGACATAGCATCTACTGTAGACCATGTTGAGAGTGAGCATGCAGTCCCATCCAATGTAACAATATTGTTGTGTGATATAGCATTCACTGTTGACCATGTGAAGAATGAGCACACATTCCCATCTTTTGAGCATTGTCCTAAATGCTTGAATTGTAATAAGAAAAATTAATTCTGTACTAAATATAACTAGTTAGCAGTTAAATTTTAAAAACTTGGCTCATAGTTAGCAAAGAAATTAGTGCTTTGATTGCATACCCTGAAATGCAAGCCACAAACGTATCTCAACAATGGACTTCAGGATTAATTAATATTATGGATGAGGATAAATAGAATACATGCTTTCTCTCTAAGAGAAAATTTTCACACCCAAAGAAAGTTCACCTGATCAAGCAGCTCTTTTAATACTAGAAAAGGCAAAAACTAAATTTCTGGAAAATGAATAAACCAAAACTTTTGAAAATGTAAAGAAAATAATTCAGAATAGTGTTGTGGCTTGAACTTATACAGAAACTTTCAATATTGATTAATATCGTTTTATTTGTTTTTGGAATGGCAACAAAAAGATTATTCAATTTTTGTTGTTCTTGGAATGGCAACAAAAGATTATTAATGATATTGTTCTAAAGAGTTGTTTACATTTGCTAAAAACGAAACAAAGATTATTTCTGATTTAAAATGTTGATTGACATTTTTTGATGAACCGGAGTTGTAAAAATAAAGATTAATTTGGAGTCAGAGCCAATAACTGGTGACTTGGACTTTCGGGTTTAAAGTAAATATGTCTGAAGACTATAAAACTGTCACAGATCCTGCACACGAACTGTGTAAGGTAAGTGTCAAAATTCCTCCATTTTGGTTGGATCGCCCAGAATTTTTTTTTTTTTTTTTTTTTTTTTTTTTTTTTTCAAGTTGAGGCTCAGTTTAAGATAAATGGAATTATTTCGGAAGAAACAAAATTTAACTATTTAGTATCACAGTTAGAACCCAAATATGTTGAAAACATCTGGGATATCATAGCAAGTAATTCGATTACTAAATATACAGAATCCAAAACAAGGCTTCTGGATTTATTTAAGGAAAGCGAAAGTACTAGAATTAAAAAACTTCTTACAGGGATCGATTTAGGTAACTTGAAAACCAGTCAATTATTACAAAAATTAAAATCTTTTGCAACATCGGATGTGTCTGAAAATTCAATTAAAACGTTATGGTTAGAGAAATTGCCGAATTCTATGCGTAATATAATACTTGTTAGTGACGAAGAATTACCCAAGTTGGAGATCATGGCTGATAAAATTTCTGATATGATACCTTCTAAAGAGATTTGTGGTGTATCAACTGCTAGTAATTGCTCGAATACAGAACTGTTAATGAAAATTCAATCCCTTGAAAAACAAATTGCCGAAATGACTGTTCATCATATATCGAGACCACGATTTAGAAACAACTCTCCGTCCTGCAGATGATATCGCAGTACTTTTAGGAAAAGATTTAATCCTAAAGGAAATTATTGTTTTTATCATTTCCGTTTTGGTAACAAATGTCATCCGGATAAATGTACTCAGCCGTGCAGTTGGTCAACTGATAGATCATCCAATCAGAGAAACGACAATGCGCAGTAGAAAAGGCCACAATCTCTACTGCAGATAATGTTAAGGAATGTCACCAATTTCGCCTATTTATCAGAGATAAAAAAACAAAAGTGTGTTTCTTAGTGGATAGCGGTGCAGATGTTAGCATTTTACCTGCATCAGCACAAGACAAACAATCTGCGGATTTCAAGTTGTATGCAGTGAATGGTACCGAAATCAAAACATATGGTATAAAAATGTTAACACTTGATTTAGGACTTAGGCGTGATTTCCCATTTCCGTTTATAGTGACCAAAATTAATAAAGGAATTTTAGAAGCTGATTTCCTTAACAAATTTTAATTAATAATTGATTTGTATTGCAAAAAACTGATTGATGGAGTAACTCAACTAAAGATAACTGGTGAAGTTGCTTCCATCAGTGAAAATAGTGATACCGTTACAGTAACCCATTCAACAAAATTTAATACTCTTCTAAAACTATACCCAGACTTATGCAAACCAATACCCAATATCTTATTCTTATCAGGTTTAAAATGCAATGTTCAACATCATATCATAACACATGGCCAATCTGTGCATTCTAAAACAAGACAGTTGGATCCTTGAAAGCTTGCAGTAGTTAAGCAAGAGTTCCAATTCATGTTGGACAATAACATAATAAGACCCTCGAGTTCTCAAGGGGCAAGTCCTCTGCATGTGGTGCTAAAAAAGGATGGTGCTCTTCGCCCATGTGGGGATTATAGACAGCTAAACCATAGAACAGTTCCTGATAGATATCCTATTCCTAAGATAAAGGACTTCCATCATATTTTAAAAGGTACGAATATTTATTCCAAAATAGATTAATTTAAAGTTTACTACAGTCAAAAGTCTTTCCGGACTCGTCAGGACTTCGGCGATTCCGGATTATCGGTTTTTCCGGATTATAGATCATCAATTTAAATCTGATAAGATGGCATGCAGAAATTATAAAATTAAAAATATGAAACCGTAATTTATGAAATAAAGAGCAATTATGATCTAAAGGGTATCAAAATTTACAAAAAAAAAAAGCTTAATATTTATTTGTTTACTTTATTCAACATTTCTTTCAACGTGCGCATACGTAAAGCATACATTACGCATAGTCAAAATTAGAAAATTGCAACCAGAAAACTATTTGATGCGTATTTGTGATATTTATAATGATGAGGAAATTGATTTAAATTATATCGGAGTACATCGAGATGAAACACTACATTTAGTGAGGAATTATAAGCCGAATAAAATAAAAATATCTGCCCTGAAGATGAGGATCATGCTGACAGATCAACTTCCAGTTCATTCCATGCCGCGACGTCCCCTCCCCCCCGCGCAGAGCAGCGTGAAATTGATAAACAGATTTCGGAATGATTAGAGAAAAAAAGGAGCCTTTATCTATTTTTTGCAGCAATTCCACAGTTTGTTTGATGGACATCGAAATATGCTTTCGCTTTGTAGATAGATCCTTTGGCAGCTCCAGAATCGGAAATTCTGTTTGACATAGTCGAAAGTTCAAGCTTACTTTTATAAAATTGCTCTAACATTCTTCAAAAAATAATAAGCTGGATCCAATTTGAAGATTAAGGAACAACGCAATCTGCAACATTAACTGAAATAGATAATTAGATAATTTTAGCTTAGCCTATACCGTCCGTTATACATTAAACACGCATGAGTAAATGTATTATGCGCGTGTGCACACGCATATGCGCAAGCATAAAGGTATTACGCGCATGCGTGAATGCACTATGCATTGACGCATGTGCAGAAAGTTTGTAGCTTTGAGGTCCGGATTAACGACTTTTGACTGTATCAAGTGTCCATTGCCGAAAAAGATAGATGTAAAACTGCTATTATTACTCCTTTTGGATTATATGAATTTAATGTTCTGAGTTTTGGTTTGAAGAATGCACCAGCAACATTCCAAAGATTTATACATACAGTTTTTTCTGGTCT